ATCATGCAGCAACCTCCAGAGAAGTTTTTGTAAATAATCGATCACAGAATATCATCTAAAATTACAATAATAAATGTGAAATAAATACGTGTTTTGTTCTGCCTTTTCTGTGTTTCTGCCTTTTCTATGTTTTGCACCGCTTATCAAGATAGCTGTGTTTTGTTGAATCTGAACGTGAGGTTTCAGTGCATTAGAATATTCCCTCTTGAAGCAGCATTTAAAGTATTTTGGCTTTTTAAGCCCATCATTGTAAGAAACACAGTGCTGCAGACCCTCATGTGAGAGCAGGAGTCCAGCACACACAACAGACATTTACAGAAGAATCATATAAAGTTATTCCGACTGTTTGATCTCATCCAAAGACTATAGATACACTTATCCTTGAAAGGGACTTTCATCTCATCTCATGTGTGCTGCTGCTTCTAGTAACGTTTGACTGCCGGTTTGCAAGCCAGCTTTCGGTGCATTACCGCCACCGAATGGACTAGTGTGGAGAATAACCGTGAGATATGATTATATACAATAAAATCTTTGTATATTTTTATATATTATACATATATAAATTACATATATTTTAAATTAATACATTAAAATGATGTATTATTATTGCCATTATCAAATCTTTTGATAATTTCTTTTATCTAAAATAATTATTTATTTAGTCATATAATAAAATAATATTACAAATTAATTGTATTTTTATTATTATTAATTTGAGATATTTTTATATAATTATATATAATACATGTTTATTTTGTGTGTGCGCGCGTATGTGTGTGTGTGTGTGTGTGTGTGAGAGAGTGTGTGTGAGTGTGTGTGTGTATACTGTACACACACACACACACACACACACACACACAATCATATACACTGTCAAATTAATTGTATTTTTATTATTATTAATTTGAGATATTTTTATATAATTATATATAATACATGTTTATTTTGTGTGTGCGCGCGTATGTGTGTGTGTGTGTGTGTGTGTGAGAGAGTGTGTGTGAGTGTGTGTGTGTATACTGTACACACACACACACACACACACACTCACACTCACACACACACTCTCTCTCTCACACACACACACACACACACACACATACGCACGCACACACTCTCTCTCACACACACACACACAGTGGTGGGCAAAATTATTAGAACACTAGTATTTTCACCTGCTAAAAATGGTTTAAAGTCAGTTATTTCTATATTTTGCTGAAGTGTGTCAGTAGGAAATATCGGTTTACATTTCCAAACATTCATTTTGCCGTTAATTGTAATAATCCAGTGAGATTTTTGTCTGACAGCAGCCAGTGCTCCACATAGAGATCTTTTGTTTTTATTTTTATTTTATTTGTACTATTTATACGCATTTTCATGAGACCGGGCTCCACACTCCCTCAAGGTTGAAGCGCTTTTTAAGTCAACTCAGGGAACATTTTCAAAACATATAGTGATAACACATACTTTCTCACAGTCACAGTGTTGTAAAACAGAGAGGTGCTGGTCAGATGAAGAATGACCACAGACAATGCAAGATATCATTTCTAGTGAGACCGGATTGGCGTAGTCAGACTTGGATCTGTATGATGGGGAGATATAAAAAGGCACAAAACTTGTAAGATCAGATATATGGGAAAAGGTAGGAAGGACCGATTCTATAATAAAGAAGCTGCAGAAAGATTATATTTTGAATAGAAACACTGAATATTCCTCAGCGATATGGTCCCAGCTTGCCATAGATTTCTTTAATAATGACATAACAAAAAAACGTCACTGGTTATGGGAGATCTGGACCAAAAACCGCAAAGGCGTGAGAGAAAGTGTACATCAGAGGTTGTGTTCTTCATTTGTGTCAGATTATGCCGTGAGCAAAAGACCAAACATAGACACTTTCCTGTCTCTTAGAAAATAAGTTGTTTGAGGAATAGGTGACACAGTACATGAAATACATGGGGAAAAAATCATAACAGTTGAAGTTGGATCATGCAGTATATCAGATCATGCACTTTTTGAAATGTTATGGAAATACTTGAAACTTTTTTAGTATTCTGTTGATGTTTCATATAGTTGTGGTACTTGTTGTCTTCTGCTGGCCTTTTATGTGAATGCATGTTTTGAAAAAACACACTTGCATTTGTGAGGGAGAATTTAGTATCTTAAAAGACCTAAGATGGTTCTTTTCATGCACGAATTCTAAAAATAGTAGTTTATCTGGCCAGGGAAACTTGTTACAGCACAATGCATTCACTGTAAAAAAAATTCCGTAAAATTGACGGTAAATAACCGGCAGCTGTGGTTGCCGGAATTTTACCGTAAAAAATATGGTAGCAACGTTTTAGGTTTTACGGTTTTAACTTAAATTTACAGTTAAATACCGTAATTTCATTAACTGATATAATGTTAATATACCAACCTATTGAAGTACTGAAATCTGTTTTGTACCTTTGTAATACACTATAACCACCAAATGCAGGTGGTGATGAGAAAGTCACATGATGAACCAAAGCCCATCACAAGACTTTTAAATAATAACATATATATAGAAGGTGCACAGTGTCATCCACACAAACGCTAAACGCCATCATGGTAACACACCTGAAACTGAAATAATGCAATAAACATTCATTTAACAACATTAGGTGTAACACACAACCCTAATATACAAAACTGATAAGAAAAAACTAAGAAACATAGTTATTTCAACAAAAAAACATCAAATTTTAAATGTAACGCAGGGAATTCTGGGAATGTCAATTTGCGGTTATTCACTGTAAATTATACGTTTTTTTTCACTTCCAAAAACGGTATACTACCGTAAAATTAATGTCCAATACATGTAATGTCCAATACAGTTTTTCACCGTATATAGTAGGGGAATTTACCGTTAACCATTTAACAGGTTTTTACTGTAGCATTTTTACAGTCTTTTACCGTTAAATTCACGGTCATTTTTTACAGTGTGTGGACTGCATCAGCAGTGCACTTTGAACAAGTTTTGGGGTTATTTTTTCCACCATATAAGATTTTTTGAGCTGTGCATAATAGCTGCATTTCACAGTCAACTAAAGGCAATAAATATGTGAATATGTTCTTTAGTTAGATGTTCTAGGTGTTTGCTGAAGTGTTGCTAGTTGGTTGCTAGGATATTCAAGGAAAATCAAAAGTTTTGTTACTCTTAAACTTGCACTAAAACGTGATTTATACCATCCAAGTAGCCTATGTGATATTAATTCAACAACTCGTTTTCTTTAGTGATACAAGCTCAGAAACATTTATAACCTGTTGAAGTTTTTATAGGCCTATCGTGTATTGACTTGGTGCCATGATGGATATTGAAATGTTGTTTGAAATAATGTTATTAACTTAATTGTATATAATTATATATTATATAAAATAATGGTATATTCGTTTATATATAATAAAATACAATTATTATTATTATTATTATTATATATATTTCTTCTTCTATAATTATATATATAAAAATATTTTATTTATTAATATTATTAAAACTACTACTATTACTACAAATGATGTATAATACAATCATATATATATATATATATATAATTGTGTGTACATTTATGTATAATAAAATAAAATTGTATATGTATTTATTATCATTATTATTATTAATAATCATTTAAATGTTTTATTTAATTAATTAATGTATTTTTTTATTTAATTACTTTTTAACGGTTCACACTCCATCCCAGTAGGGGGCGGAGTTTTTACTGTAAGATTGAGTGCCAACCGCCATCAAGCGTCACAGAAGAACTAAAGATGCTGCAGAAAGACGCAATTTGGGTCGATAGTCCTGGCGCGAAACCTTTAAATTTACACACTTCATAAAATCAACACGTTACACTTGAATATTAGACTGAATATTAGACCGCTGGACAACAGACAACAAATCTGAACCTGAAGATAAACATGTCAGAGACGAAGCGGTGAGTTCGCTATTGTTTTGTTTTGTTATCATGTGTCAGAGGTCGCCGGTTTGGCGGTGATGTGTGACGAAACGAAGATGAGCGAGACCGGAGCGGAGAGAAACCGGGACATGAAGCCGCGGAGGTCGGTGTGTGTGTATGATTGCAGACCGGAGAGCAGCGCCGCGACGCCGCGGACCGTCGACATCTCGGAGGCGGACTACAGCGGCTTCCTGCGGGCTCTGAGACAGGTAACCCCGCCCCGGTTCACCAGGCGCTGCTGTTAGGTTTAAAAATAACAATATTTTCAATTGTAAATGTTATGGGGGATTAATAACAGTATGTATTTAACACAATTATCCCCATTCAATTTAATGTTATCGTAATTATGTGAAATCTATGACACTTATTGTCTTCTCACTGCATCTTAACAGTGTGTCCATATGCTATAAAATGGATAAAAATGTTTTTTAATGATGACAAAGACCTTGTTTTATCAAAAGAGTACACTTAATATCTCATATCAAAGCAAGGTTGTTTTTCAGTGACACATGCAAGTTTCATAAGGGTTCAAAGTTGTGTCCCCACTTTTTGTCAACACCGTGAGTCAGACATTCATTAAAATGTAATAAAATCAGGGAATATCAGGGGCAGCTGTCACTCTAAAGCAGTGGTTCCCAACCCTGGTCCTTGAGGCACCCCAACACTGCACATTTTGCATGTCTCCGTTCTCTAATACACCAGTTTCAGGTCTTAAAGTCTCTACTATTGAGCTGATGACCTGAATCAGGTGTGTTTGATTAAGGAGACATGCAAAACGTACAGTGTTGGGGTGCCTCAAGGACCAGGGTTGGGAACCACTGCTCTCTCAAACTTTTTACAGCGGTGTACCCCCTGGGGCATTTAACATTCTTCTGCGTACCCCCACTCTTCCACTTAGACCTTAGTCGCACCTTTTCTATTAAAGGACAATATTTGCACCCTTAAATTGATTTACAGGTGCATTTTTTACCTTTATAGAGGCAAATATTTTCTATCCTTATTAATTGAAATCGTTCAAAGCCGCAGATTCGTTCACTAACTAAACACTGCTGTATGATGCTTGGAGACGCACACCAGATGATACGGATTTCGTTGGAACTATTATTTCGTTGCAAAATAGAACAAACATGGCAATATTCTGTTCAAAATGTAGGCTACATTTGAAATGTAAAATGTTCACTTAATATTACCTTTTTGGTTGAACTGTTGTAAAAATTAATGGCACATTTGCCATCGTTTGGATATTCAGGGAAATTTGCATTCTTGCTCGTATCTTAAACATGAAAACAATAACACGCACAGAGTGTGTCTGTATCGAAGAGCGTTTAAATCGATCTCAATGTACAGTGC